CTCCAGGTTCCTGCCCTGACTTCCCTTCAAGACACAACATGATTTCAGGACACATGGCTGAAATAACCCTTTCCTCCTTAAGTTGCTTTGGTCACGGTGTTTTATCACAGCAACAAGCTAAAGGTACCCTACAAACAAGACCAGCCTGGGCTACATGGCAAGAGCCTATTTCAAAAAGACAAAAAACACTTCAGATAGTTGATAATTGTGCCTTGCTTCTGCTCATCACAAAATTATCACAAAGCTAAAGCTGCGTCTGATGAGTGACATTAGGGACTGTATATATTCCAAATAGAAGAAAAACACAACAATAATGGTGAGTTTACAGAAACAACAGGTGCCAACATTTTACTAAACTTCTGCCTGGGAATAATGTGTGAGAGTTAATGCTGGAAGGGCTTCAGTATCATATATGTTCCCATCTCAGGTACTTCAAAAGCCCCAATCTCCTTTTCCTATGGAATGAAATGAATACTCGTGTCACAAGGTTGTTCCCGAGGGGAAAGCCTAGAAGGTATTTGACATAGTATTGTGGAATACTAGGAAACGCAAGCAAGTCCTTTATTGTCAATCTGTGCAAACACACGAAATACGTCCCATAAAAAGCAGTGAGGGTATCAATTCCATCCAGCAGCACTAGAGAACCTGTGAGGTTTGAGAAGGGTGAAATGGAACAAGAATCTCAGAGCTGGGCATGGAGAGCACACCTGGAGGCTAAGAGTTTAACTGGGAGGCAATTTAGCAACCACTGCATAAAGACATGAGTGCTGGACTTAGAATATTTGTACTGGGCTGGTAGGAGACAGACATATACCTTCCCAAGGAAGAACCATGGGAAAAAAAATGACCAAGGAATAAAAAATAAGGGCAGGGAGATTTGAATGCTGACATAAGCAATACTGGCAGGTAAGGGATTCAGATCACAGACATGATTTCAAACCCTGACTTCCACCTACTAGTTGTTTGGCAAATCCCTCATCCCTGAATCTTCCATTTATAAAATGAAAGCAACTTTAGTACTCACAGGGCACACAGATGGTGATACAAGTGTTTAGCTTAGCATGTTTAGCAATTCTACGACCAGTCTGCACCTAATATGTACTTTCTTCATGCTCCTATTGACACCCTGCTGAACACACCCTCTTTGGGCTAAGAATTCCAGGACAATTTCTAATCCTTGTAAGAGTTAGGTTAATATCTGCTCTTTGGGAAGCATTCCCCTAAAGCAACCTCCAGTAATTACTTAAGTACCTCACACTAGGAGGTATTTCAATGTTCATTTATGTATCTCACCATTCACCATACTGAACTGGGTGTTTCTTAACAGAAAAGACAAAAATGAAAACATGTCTACCTTCTTATCTCCAATTAGCATAATTAGCACATCTGAAATTTCTCAAATGAGGAGGGAAACAAGCACACTGACCTAACTACTTTAAGAAGCTCTTCCAGTAGGTTGTGGTGGTACAGGCCTTTAATCCTAGTGCTTGGAAGGTAGAGGCCAGACCTCTGTGTGGTAGAGGCCAGCCTGGTCTACATGGGGAGTTCCAGCTCAGCCAGGGCTACAAAGGGAGAGAGTCTCAATAAAACCAAAACAAGAAAAAAGAAACTCTTTCACCTAGGTGCTTCTCTAAGTCACCACCTGCCAAAACTAAATCAAAGACCTAAACCATCAAAGTCCATCATTATGGGAAAGTCTCTAAGTCTACTAACCTTGCTTTTTGGTTTCTGAAGTTCTGCTTCTGGCTAACTGCTCTTGTTAATGGAAATATGCCAACCCAGGGCATGGTTTTTGTGCTTAAAAGGTCACCCGAAGAAAGGCTAAGGGATTTTGGGGATCCCAAACACCCAGTGTAGTCACCAGCTGGCTAATGGGGACTTTCTTTTGGCTTAAATCCATTTCCAAGCAGTCTTTTAAGGTGAATATGCCATAAGTGCAATTACTTGAGGCAGCTATAAAAGGACTTGGTTTTCATTACCAAGGATGAAAAGAAAGACAATAACAGACAGTGGCTAGTCTCTCCTGAAATTTACAAATTGCTTCAAACATGAGTCTTAGGTAATGTCTAGTGCCCCTAAATTCCTCCAATCTACTTTCCTGTATCATTCACCCATATCTTCCCCTGTTCCCCCACTTTCCTGTATCATTCACCCATATCTTCCCCTGTTCCCCCACTTTCCTGTATCATTCACCCATATCTTCCCCATCAAAGTTCCCAGTCTCCTTCCACTCCCTCAGCTCATGATCATGGTTTCTAGTTTAAACTTGGGAGTTCAGTCATTCTAAGCAGATTTACTGAACTGGCCCACCCTGGGGTGTGGAGAGGAGATGATCTCTTCTCGCTTTATCTCTTGTCTGTGCCTCTCTCCCTCCTAAAGGAAAAATGTCCCCAGGGCACCTTCAAATACCAGGTGTACTTCTAACAACTTCCATTGATAATTTCAGCTCAGACTTCAGAATTTATTTCATAAGTATTTTACCACACAATGGCATTAACATGTGCACAACTAGAAATGACTTCAGACCTTCCTTCTCCCCTACAGTCTTCTCTATTACAGTAAATAGCTCTGCCCATGCACCTTACAATCATCCCTAATCATTCTAACTACTCTAATTTAGAAGCAAAGCTATAATCTAACCATTCTCAACCACACCAGACCCAAGCAACACTGCCTTTATTTCTGCAGTCAACATGACAATCAGATCTTTTCAAAACTCAACTCGGATCAATTTGCCCTGGACTCAAACTTATCTCATTAAAAGTAAAAAACAGAGTCACATGATGTTGGCAAACACCTTTAATCCCAGAGCTTGGGAGGCAGGAGTGGATCTCTGAGTTCAAGGCTAGCCTGGTCTACAGAATTGCCAGGGTTACACAGAGAAACCCTGTATAGAAAAGGAGGGAGGGAATTAGAATGTTTAATCCCAGCCCCCCGGAAGGCAGTGGCACATGGATATCTGTGAGTTCAAGTGAAGAATGATCTACAATGAGATTTCCAGGCCAGTCAGGGCTACAGATAAAGAAAGAAAGAAAGAAAGAAAGAAAGAAAGAGAGAAAGAGAGAGAAAGAAAGAAAGAGGAAGAAGGATGGAGGGAGAGAGAGGGGAAGGGATGGGAGAGGGAGGGAAGGGAAAGAGAGGGAGGGGAAGAGATGGAGGGAGGGAGGGAAAGAGAGGGATGAGGAGGGAGGGATGGAGAGAGAAGAGAAGAGAAGAGAAGAGAAGAGAAGAGAAGAGAAGAGAAGAGAAGAGAAGAGAAGAGAAGAGAAGAGAAGAGAAGAGAAGAGAAGAGAAGAGGAGGGCAGAGTGGGTTTGGAGAGATGGCTCACTGGTTAAGAGTGCTGGTGCTCTTGCAGAAGGCCAGGGTTTGGGTTCTAGTCCCACATGGTGGCTCGCAACCTTTGGTATAGGATTCTTTGGTGGTCACTAGGCATGAATTTGATTGGGTAGACATTCATGCAGGCAAAACACCCAAACACATTAAAAAAAAACCAACCAAACAAACAAACAAAAAAAACAAGCAAACAAACCAAACCACTAAAGCTTTTACGAAGTCCCATAAGGACCTTGCCTCGCCTAATTTGAGCACTCCTCTTTTGCTCTGCCTGTTCTTTCCCACTGGAACTAGCTATTATGCCTCTCCCCCTCCCCAATGGCCTTTCCCTGTGGCACCTTCAGCACTTTCAGCTTCACTCAATTATCTTTCTATGCTCACCATTAAGAACTCGTGTGCACACCATCAACTCTACCTACCAATTCGTTTCCCTGGATTTTCCTTTCCCTGGAACTTTCCATTACCTGGCATATACTTTTTCTCCCCTGAGACAGGAGCTCATTGTGTCACCCTGGCTGGTCTGGAACTCACTATATAGACCAGCTTAGCTCTCTGAGTACTGGGATTAAAGGCAAGCGCTGTGTGTGTGTGTTCTCTTATTTGAGACAGGATCTCCCTTAGTAGCCCAGGCTGGCCTCCAATTCAAGGCAACCTTCCTACCTCGGCTTCCCAAGCATAACGATAATAGGCTTGTGCCACCACAGTAAGTTTTGTTTTCCAGTTAATTTGGTTTTGTGCTGCTCAGGAAAGAATGCAGGGCCTTGAGAATGACTTTGTTTGGGGCTTTGCAAGGGTGGTATCTGTGCATCTGACAGTTGCAAGCTCAGCAAACTCACTGGGTAGTCACAGCTGGTCTTAAACTCTTGATTCTCCTGTCTCCACCTCCCCAGTGCTGGAATTAATGGTGTGGGTTCAAAGTACATTTAAACATAGTGTAACATACTCACCTCTCACAACTACTACCATAAGGCCAACATCCTTGTTCTCAAATTCAACTCAAACAATAAGTCTACTGAAATCAGAATATTTCAGACCAAAGTATTCAGTATCAAGGACCCAAGAGACTTATCGGGTGAGTTTTATAAGGCTTTGGATAGTTAATTATTGTTTGATAAATCCCGGGGTTCTGATTAGTGAAGACGTGCTATGCTTCCACAGGAAAATGCTATTTTTCTTTGGGAGAAAAATCTACAAGCCTCTCAGCTTCATAGGTTCCTCAAGTTTGATTATGCTTTGAGAGCAAGTCAAAGAAAGTAACTGAATAAATGATAGTGTTCTACTAACAGCAACTCCTTTGTTAGTATTAAGTACTATTATTAAATTAAGACTGAAAGAATGGCATCGAAGATAAATAGCCTAGAGTAAATACTACGTTTGGATATGCACCGAAAGAATTATGATTTAAATACCTCTCGTGCAAAAGGCAAGTTCTTAACTTGAGCTTCTGACTCGATGTCATATGTCCTATCTCAGTAAGGAACTGACATTCTTAAAGGGGAAGGCAAGGCTGATCCAAGGGCTCTGGGGCAGTGTCTACTCAACCCCACCACCGCGCATCGTCACCGCCTCCCCCACCATCGCCCCGGGTGCGCTCCTTCTGCCGGCCGCTGGCCCTGGCCCTGGCCCTGGCCCTCACTTCCGCGCCCCAGACACACAGGAGCCCTACCTGAAGTGCCCGCTCTGCTCCAGCTTCACAGGGGGAAGACGCTGGGTCGCCGCGCTCCGCCTGCCTGACTCACGGCGCTCTGCAGAGGCGCAGGAGCAGAAGTACCAGGGCCCGCGCAGCCGCAGAGCGACGCCACCGGGGTCAGAGCCCAGCCCTGCGCGCACTTCCGCCCTCCCAAGCAACGCGAACCCGACCCACAGCGGCTGGAGCCCACTACCAGTCAAGTGACCCCCGGCGCCTAAAGATGACGTCGCACCACACGTGACCTGCACTCCGCCCTCCGAGGTCGGCACAACCCTAGGAAGCCTGAGTCGCTTCCGAGCATGCGCGGACAGAGAAACAGCGTCCTGAGACGTTGGTTTCCTCTTCCTCACAAGACAGTATTGTAAAAGCGTTACTTTAAAGGATGATTGGGCCGGTTTTGTTGGTTTAGAGACAGGACAGGGCTCTCAAACTGTGGCTGCAGTGGATCTGGAGCTTGCTCTGTATCTTAGGCTCCCCAGCCTCTCAAGCGTTTACCACACCTGGCTTTCTGGTTAATCCCACGTATTTTCTCAGTAGAGCCTCTTCCCTCTGGTCGAACCACAGTAGGCGTTAGTGGCTAAATTTAACCCAAGATGGTAAAAGCAGTGAACCCGCCCCCTACCTCTAAGAATATCCATTCTACTCTTCTTGCTTAGAAAACAAACAATAAACTTATCCCCAAAGAGTACTTCAGCTGGGTCTATACAAAAGTCTTACCACGAGTTTAGAGGTTTTCTTTTCTTTCTCTTTTTCCTCCCAGGGGACTGGGATTAACACTCTTCTTTTGTGACGTCCCCTACATCTTGGAGAAGATGATGTCCCTACAACAGTCATTTATTCTCATAGCTTTGTCCTGATAACGAGTTTCTGCAATAACCACTGTCCACTGCAAAAAGAAGGTTCTTTAACCTAAGCTGGCATCAGCGGTGACATAAGCATAGTTACTTAGAAAAAAACGTACACAATATGATCATTTAACAAAACAAGAGCAGTAGCTTCCTTATATGGACCTATGATCTACCCAATCATGGAATTTTGTCTAGGTATACATTACCAGATGTGGGCTCCCTTCTGTGGACTGTACCTTAAGACCAACCAGAAAGCAATTAGATTACCTCCTTAACAGACTTGACACTGTTACACCAGTGGTGTTGCAGGTAGGGGCCACCGTTGATTGTGACTGTTCACAATTCTGTTACCATCTCCCAGTACTGTGAAAGCTAGCCAGCAGAATGGGAACTTTCAGCCCAGTTCTGGCATGATTTCTCTGTCTTGCGACCAAAGCATCTTTAACTCCGGGGCATAATATGTGTTTGTTATAGTCAACCGATAGCAATGGCAGTTTCCTGTGTTGCTTTGTAGTACTCAGAGGCCTCTCTGGCCAACAACTCAAAGGAATGCTGCTCATTCCTGGCGCTAGGACTTCCACTCAATAACATATGGGTTCTGGGAGTAATTTGTCCATGCAGGAGAGACTGCTTGGTTTTTGTTTGATCGGTGAAATAAACTAGAAAATGTCAGCATGTGTCATGTGTATAAAACGCAAAAATCAGGCTGGGGTAATAAGCACCTACTCAGTGCCCGTTTCACTGTTTAACAAAGCCCCATGATCTCAGCTACTCACTGATTATTGAATTTAATCTTGTGGGGATTTCTGTTTTGAGTAGGTGGAGTGGATGAGAACTGTGACTTTCTAACTTTGGACTGTTATTCTTAAAAAGAAACTTGTTTTTTTTTCTTCCAGAAATATAAAATGTTTACTAAGGAGTCTCTTTAAAAAACAAACAAACAAAAACAGCCCTGCATTTTTACTCAAGATGTGTCTCTGGCGATATGTTCAATCCCTTGAATGAGAATTTATTATTTATAAGTTATTGAATGCCGCAGAAAAATCACACTATTATTCAGTGTGTTTCCTACAAATTTCTAACCAGCCTGAGACATTTTCAATGGTACTGAGAATTTCTTAATTCTCCTTCAATGACTTTTAACTTACTTGTTAAGTACTTCATTCAAGAGTGGGGATTCTGTTCTGCACTTTGAATTAGAAACTAAGACTCTTATACTTGTTATACACAGCATTTATTTTATACACAGATTATAAAATAAATTAAGATTTAACAATATATAAAGTATTCCTAACATTAAGATACTGAATCCTGAACTTTACAGTTATAAAATTATCTAGATACATACTAAAAAGGAGATTTTGGTGTTTCATGTATCCAATCAGTGTCTAATATAGATCTAAGAATTCCAAAACATTAAAATGAACTGGAAATCTTTTAAAGCTCTATAAATAGCTAGAAGGGGAAAAAATGAATGAGTTCAACAAAGGCCATCTTCAAATGAATACAGTGAAGAAGGTACAACACACAGGTCATTCCACAAATAAGAGTCAAAGTTGAGCTTTGTAAATTACCACAAGCAACTTGAAATGCAAGTTTGTTCTAGTTATAGCTGCAATCTTTAAAGCATTAATATATAATTGAAGTAACTATCTAGGTTAATCACTAACTACTTTTTTCAAAAGTATTATTTATGTAACTGTAGAATTAGTTTTCTTTTTTTTAAATAAAATTTTCTTACAATAGATCTTGTTTATAGTTTCCCTTCCCTTTACTCCTCCTACTTACCACATCCTCTGCCCTTCAGATCCACTCCCTTTCATGCTTCTAAGAGGTAACAACCAAACAACAAAAACATAGCATATCAAAGTTGGACAGGGCAGCCCAACAGGAGGAAAGGAGTTCCAAGAGTGCTTTTGGTAAGATGACCATTTTTACTGTCTTAATCCTACTTATACATGAGCCTGGGAGATCTTTCTATCTTCTGATATTTTCTCCAGTTCGTTTCTTCAGAGACTTGAAGGGCTGGTGTTCATAATCTGTTTTTTCTTCTAGCAACTTGCCTTCTCTGCTTCCTCAAGAAACAGATTCCTGAGGTTATGGCAGTTTTGGATGCTTCTTCACCCATACCTCCCACTGAGCATGATCCCACTGACTCCTGAAGCCTATTTATCCTTTACTATGAAGCCTGTGAACAAGGCAAACCCGTTAGTATTTTTTAACAAGAAGCTTAACTAATGAGCTACCAAGGTGGTTTGTAGCCTTGGGATGTAGTGGTGAGAGCAGTTAAACTGGCAAATCTATCAGTATCCTAGTCATCAAACCCCATCAGATCTGAGAAGGATAAATTTTGCCTGAGTAAGCAAAGTGAAATAGCTTACCAGCTACCTGTGGTTGTTGGGGACAGAGGTCCCAGGGCAGTATCAATCTTCACCTGCCAGGCCCAGAAGATCTAATAGACTTTCCTGTGGAATAAGAATTTGGGGGGACTGTCCTATCCTGTCTTGGCAAAGTGGGGTAATCAATTCTCCAGTGTCCTGATTGTCTACAGTATGGGCAGAATTTTGGCGGCAGTTGAGGTGAAAGGCAGTCTTTATCTGTTCCATGACTGGATTTGTTAAATTTAAAGCAAGCTCCAGGTGGAGGTTCTTCTATGCCCATCCATCTTTCTTGGAGGAGGTGGTGTGCTGACAGGAGCTGGCATGTCTCTATCATGAAAAGCCTTTTTAAAAATTAAATTCCATATTCTCAAATCTCTGAAGCATTTGAGGATCAGGGGGCTGTTATCTGTTAGGTATAAGCAGCTTAGTAGTTCTAGAAGGCAAAGTGCAGTTTTCACAGTATGAACAATTTAGTGTTTCTAAAATCAATATACAAAGGGAATTACTCATGTTATAAAATTGGGCAGCCAGAAAGTTATGTCCCTGTACATGAATTCATGGAGGTGCAGCATTAATACCTCATTAAATTGTCATTGTTTTAAATCCCATCTTTCATAAACCTTGTTTTTAGGACAGGACAGAAATTATCATACAGAAATAGATCCTAATCCAAAGTATCTTGGAGACATGAAGTCTCCTTGGTGGGCCCACTCTATGTGGTCACCTTTAGTCAAGATGGTTGCCTTGCCCAGCCTTAATACAAGAAGAGGAGTTTAGTCCTACCTCAACTTGATATGCCATGCTTTGTTGATACTCATTGGAGGATGAGTGAATGTGGGGGGATCTTCAACACCTGAGATTCTTTCTTCCATCTCTTATATTTTGTAGGTTATGCTTGCATCTCTAGTTCCTGATTGTTTATCCAGATTTTCCATTTCGAACATTCCTTTGATTTGTGTTTTCTTTATTGCCTCTATTTTAGTTTTCAAGTCTTGAACTGTTTGAAATGTTTCTTTCACCTGTTTGATTTCCTTCCTTTCATTAAGCAATTTCTTGACTTCTTTTCCTCCATTTCTTTAAGGGGATTTTTCACTTTCTCTTTATGATTCTCTATTATCTTCATAAAGTTATTTTTAATGTTTTCATCTGCTTCATTGGTGTTGGGATGCTCAGGTCTTGCTGGTGTAGAACCTTTAGTTTTTGTGGTGCCATACTGCTATTTATGTTGTTGAATGTATTCTTACACTGTTGTCTACCCATCTCTTCCTCCAGTGGGTGCAGGTGGGGCCTGTGCTTCAGGGGGGGTCTACCTTCATTCAATTGGTGTATGTGGGTCCTGTAGCTTAGGTAGTTGCTTTTCCTACAGGTGCTGCCAGATGCTGATACAGCTCTGGGGTTCTCCTGGTATAGGCAGGGTCAAAGCTCTTGTACACACAGATGTCATTTGTGATAGTCTAGGGTGTGGGGAGGTTGCTTCCAGGACTCTGGGGCTTCAGTGGGTATGAGTGGGACACAGCAAGTGCCCTGGTTGCTTAGGACCCACAGGGCAGTGTCCTCTAGCCGGGGTCCCAGATACTCACCTCTCCAAATGGGGATATGGGCAAGCTTGCAGATACCTTGGGGGACCAGACAACTGGTTTTTGATGGTGTAGTGCCCATGCTTTTTTAGGCATTGCTTCACCCATAAGTGACCCAAACTAAACTCATTAGTTTACCAAGTTGCAATTGATGGGATTGTTTCTTAGGTCTGTAATTCTCAGCACTATCTGAAATGGATAGGGTTTGTCTCCAAGGAGAAGTCAACAGAACACAAGTCTTCATTTCTGCCATCTTGTTCTGTGGAGGTAGTTCTTGTGTGGTGAGGACTATTCCATGTGTTTGTAAACCACCTGGAATGGACTACTTTTCCTTGCTAGGAAAAAAAAAACAAATGAATGTGGTATGGTTTGTTGCCCAGGGAAGTTCT